GTTGTCACAACAATGGATTCAAATGATATATTAACATGTATGGAATACAACCACGAAATGCTCAAAGCAGAAGAGCTTTTCGCAGCGCGCGCATTTGCAAAATTGCAATCGATTCACATCCCATGTATTCGCTCTCGATCTGAACTTTACTTTGCATCATAGGGTTTCCATCCTTAGATCTTATCGCTCACACAGTTTTGCTCGTCGCGTCTCAAAAATTTCCTTTCATACCCGTGGCATGCAGCCGAATACATTGATGACCACCCCGGCGAATTTGAGTTTTCTATTCAGTACTATTTTTCACCGACTTTGATAGGGAATTGTGAAGCTGCTGATTGTCATCGTTTATATTTTATTCGATGTGCGCTGCGAGAAGCTCTTCTGCTTTGAGCATTTTGTGGTTGTATTCCATACATGTTAATATATCATTTGAATCCCTTGTTGTGACATCATATCCTCCACAGATTTACATACTGTAGAAGATTATAGTTTATTGTTAAAATAGGGACTTTTTTGGGGTGGAGGACATTAGGTCGCCGAATTTGGAAGAGTCCCGCGCGGATTCCCTGCAGGAACGCATGTCCGCGCATGTACAAGGGTTCGTATTTGTCGCAAATGACCGCGGGGACCGCCCTTTTTCGGCGATCTAATGTCCCCCACCCACTTTTTTGCAGTAAATAGCTTGTTTTAACTGCCTAAAAATGAGTAATTTTCGTTTACTGTCACCCAATAGACTTTTTACAGGACTGCACTGCGCCACCGCCACACTGTTGCGTTTTTCTAGCGCCTCGCTCTCACTGGGTGCGCCGGCTGCGCCGGAGGAAAATGGCCTTGTAATTCCCCCCCCCACAAAACCGCTCGGCACCTAGCGAAAGTAGTTGTGAGTTTGCCTTACCGAGGACGGTTTCTTAATATACAACTCATTCCAAATGGCCACTTCGACCGATCAATCTATGCCTTTTTATCAAACACCTACTTTCAAATGAAAATTTCCATCATCAGTAGTGGCAAGGTGCATATTTGCAGAAGCGCTGAGTCTCTTGTCCATCTGTATTTCTTGTGCGAGGACGCCCGTATGATGGGGGAGTACGTTTTCCTTGGAATGGAATGTGCAAAGGGATCATTAGAGTTCTAAACTCTATGATGTGAACTAGTACGTGATTACCATGATTACTACCCATTTCCATTGATTTTATTCCACAAAATTAAGAAACAACAGACGATTTTGATAAAAAAAATCAAATTTTTCAAATTTTCTTCAAGCATTATTTGAGTGGATTGGATTGGGGGCAAAAATTTTCGCATTAATTTCCGGAATAAACGAAAATGGACAAACATGGACAAATATAGACAACCAAATACATAAACACGAGTGCAGGCAGAAGCTCTGCTTCCTTTAGAAGTTCACTCTGTAGTCGCAGAGTATCAGAAGAATTCTAAGATGACATGAGCAAACATCGACAAGTGCTTAGGTCCTTCACAATTTGACGAAAAAATTTCCGTTAAAAGCTTGTTTGCGACTTTTCACAAACCAAATCATGACTGTCAAGTTTGCTAGTTCTACATCTTAGTGAAGTATTTTATCAATTTATCCAACAACATTTCTATGTTATAGAATATGGAAAGGTCTAACGTATATGTTTGCTAGCAGTAACCATCTCTGCTTATATAAGTCCACATAATATTCAGCAGAGGGACTGGGTTCGCATGTAACACACTGAGGAATGTGCATTATGTTTGGGTTCGCCGACCAGTGCTTAGAGGGTTCCAAAACCCACGAGAACTGGGTCACTCGTTTCGTGAGCGCATGCATGCTTGCTTTTTGGATTCGCGAACCCTTTGAGTACGTCCGTAAATATCGGTTAGGTTAATTTTTGTGAGTTCCGGAACCCACTAGCTGCGTGAATACCGATCTCGTGGGTCAAGCCTGCCCAAAGAGTTCCGCATCCCACTGGTTTCGTTGGTGAATACAGCTACAGATGTTCCTTAGAATACAGCACTAAGCTAAACTCGCCCATGTGTTACACTTTCTTGGCATAGGTCTAAGTAAGTTGTGCCAGAATACTTGGCAATACCTAAGGACTGAGGCTGGCTCACGCCAGGGTGTTAGAAGAGGGCGGGAGGCTCGAAACGAGCTGATAGGAAGAAAAAAGTGGTTCTCATCAGGAGGACTAGGCAAACTTGGATATGACTGAATTTCATAGCAAAGCATTGAATGCCGAATTACAATCCGTGCCCTTTCCCGTAAGCGCAATGAGCCTCGCGCCGCGTCGGCGCGTATGACTCGAGCATTCAAATGGGCCCCATCGATTGCAGGACCCTTGCGTTGCCCATATGTAGTTCCCACGCGAAAGGAGGTAATTGACATTGACTGCTGTAGATATCAGTTAAACAAAAAATCCAATAGTCTAAAATGTACTCATTCGAGTGGTAAAAAAACTATTATATTATAGTCTGCAGAAATCAGGCAAATCCAAAACGCTGAAGTCTCAAGTGCAGCAAGATAATTGTAATTCGCGGCAAAAAGATCCTTAAAGCCGAAGCAGACTCAGTCAAGCACTAAAAATTCTGTTACAGTGTGCGAGATTAGAATTTTAAGTAGAGCTCCTAGAAAAAAAAGACTGTGGACAGTGGATGTAAATATCATTAGTGATATAGATAAAGTATTTGAATTACAAAAATGTGCAGTATCCTGTATACAGTGATCAAACGATAGACTAGCTGACCCTCATAGTCTTTTATCACTAAAGTTACATCCTCAGGGGCACGATGTTACCATTAGAGAGATGGGTCATTTGCTTTAACGTTCCGAAAAAAAAACAGTAAAAAAATTCAGCTGTTATGGCACTTTTAAGAGAAAGTCTGGTAATTGAATCAACTTTTAACTCTGAGTTTCGTCTCATAAAGATCATAATTTGCTGGATGATGAACAGTTTGAAAAATACACAGCTCGTTAGGCAGAGAGTTATGTTATATGAGTTCTCAAAAAGACATGCTCTGTTTTTCATCGTGTTTTCGTAAGCTGAAAGTCGAGTTTATCAGTTTAGTAACATTTCGGCTCTGTAACGAAAAGACCGCGCAAAATTAATAGCATATTCAAAAAGGGCGCCTCAAGAAACCCCTAGATCTGTTTTTTCATTGAGATTGAGCAAATATGGTTGCTAAACATCAGTTTTGTGATGCCGAAATCCCGGTTTCATGGTTGAGGGTGCATATATTCGTTGATGGTTGCGGGCGGGACGCAGAATATACACAGACTAGGCTCTGTAACTATGTTAGTTGCCGTTATCGACCCCATTCAACGTTGCGGCAAGTCTTTCGGGTAGGTAAGTTCTTTCGCCCACAAAAAATCTGAGATGTAATCATGAGTGTAATTGCAATGCAGAACGCAGTAAGAACTTTAGAAAGACAGGAAATGTAACATATTTTGATTTTGAAGTAAATTCATCGAAATTTGGAGTTATTGATTATTAAGTAGGCTTTTTGTATATTTCATTGTGTCCTTTGCGGCATACGTATATCGATGAGCACCAGTGATTTTATAGGTCAGTACTCTGCATTACAAAAAATTTACGCAAAAGAATAACAATAAGAATAACCATGAGAAAATTTACAGTTGGATCAATTACTATCAAAAGGTTTTTTGCTAAGTGTGATTTCATTTTAAAAAAGGAAGTGTGTTTTATTTTTATACCTGCATATGTAACATAATTTCGTTCTAGTATTTGACTTACTTAGGCGATTCACCATTGGCACCACACTTCACCGGATTCTAAAGCCTTTCTTCTCTAGAAGTCACGCTTGATTGTGCAAAGAGAGTGTACAATTAATTATTTCAAAACTCCTTGTAGAGTTTCTCCACAATTGTAAATCTTTTTTAACGGTGGTAAGTAGTTTGATATGCCATTTTCTGCTTTTTAAGACTCTTTCAAGTTTGTATTGCAGTTACACTGCTCAGTCTTATGATTCTTATTTATGACAATAAAAAATATTTTCTTGCTTATATTCTTCTATTTCATCTTCGACTCCATTTATGATAGACTATAAATTTTCTGCGATGCTGAATCTACGCCTTGCTGCAATCGCTCATTTCTAAGGGAATTCTCGCCTCTCAACGCGATGAGGTACGAGGCCTCCGTGAAGATCTCCCGGAAGAGGTTGTGGACGATTACAGTCCGTTTACCGTAGCTCAGCTGCGACGTTGACGCCAGCTCTGCTAGCTGAGGCACCTAACGGCTGCCAGAGATAACACTTGCACGCCCCATGTTATAGTCAGAGCCAGGCATAAGCCTCCGTATTTAGGCTTCTAAAAACGTAGTTCCCCTTGACTTTCGCCAAAATTAACGAAGTTCACTTTAACCCCAAACCATATCTGTAAGAAAAAAAAACCCTTGAAAACAAAATGTCGATTAAATAACGTTGCGATTTTTTGTGCCAAAGACGATATCCAAGTGTTCTTTCACCCCAAAAACAAGATCCAGTTCGTCTTCATACGATTTGTACCGGACCCTGACTATAGTGCGACCTGTATTAAGCAAATGCCCAACTTGCGCTGCAAAAAGTATCTTTCTTGTCGAAAAGTCCGCTTTGAAGGATTACCAAAAGATCACGCAGATTTGGAGGGTGGCCACACAGCCCAGGTGCCCACCCAGCGGTTTCACTCCGACGGTTTCACGTGGCGATGCTTGATAATGCTGCATAGTGATTGTGCTTGCCAAATCAATGCACCATGCTCGCAACTGATGGATCCTCTTACATTGCACTCGTCCGCGATTACCAAAAAGACCTCCAGCGGATCTTTCAGAATTTCCTGCTAGTTGAACTCCATATTCGGAATTGTCTTTGCAAGGTAATGCTTTTGTTCAAGAATATTACACTAAGCTCCATATAGAGAGCGATGCGCTTCATCCCCCAGTGTACAGTTTCGCTTTTTCACAACGTTTCTAAACATTATCTTCAGTTCATCCTGCCTTTAAAAGAAACTGTCTCGAGGAACTTACCATTGCCATAAAAATTGGATTGTATGTTCCCAAGTCTGACAGTATTTGGCGTTTTTCTTCATCGGTGTACTTGTGACAACCCCCATAGGGATTGATGTAGGGAGGAGTAGTCGTTTTTGTTGTTGTCGTTGTTGTTGTGGTGGTGGTAGATGGGGTCGGTGGTTTAATATCTAACTGGCGATTGTAAGCATAATTCGGAGGTTGAGTCGTTGTTGTTGTTGTAGTAATTTGTGCTGTATATCCAACCTAAAAATTAACACCCTTTATTTTCATGATCTGAATAACTTTAATGTTTGGTGCATCAGAACTTGATTGTCCAGCTTAGACGCGGGAATTCGAAAAAAACCAGAAGAGAACTATAGTTTCTTCTACCTACTGTTAACTGTCTTTGAGAGTGTGCGTATGCCCCGCTGAAATCTGCTGGGACGAGGTGGTGCTCTTATATACGGACTTTCTGCGCGGAATTTCAGCTTTGCAATTGCTTGATTTACTTGCAAATTACCTACAAGGTAGGCCTTCCTAATCGAAGTGGCTTTTTCAATTGAGTTCTACACTACTTTGAAAAGCATTGAACGCTGATTCCAAATCTGTTTTCATTATTTGCCAACCGCCCCTGCGCCGATTTATAAGTGGTACTTGGAGCAAGAAATGAACGATAAATCTATGTAAAAACAATGGTTAATTTTTTGCCTTCAAATATAGTAGTGTTGAGTATGGTCGTATTAAGCAGAAGGTATTCATTGGATGAAGTATTCTGAGTAACAATAGCCATTCATTTGAGCAATGCTGGACGATTTCGTTACAGCTAGGCATTCAATTTATCGGGCCAAAAAACGCCTATAATTTGACCTGCAGAGGCGCTTGGAGACAAGGAAGACAGATTTGGAATCAACGCTTACTCCTCTATGAAGTGACGTAGGTGTTATGCGCAAAGGCCACTTTAACAAAAAAAGCCATCCTTGTTAGTTTCCAATGACCATGGGTTGCCATGAATTCATGGTTTATTTGTCTTTCACATCATGACTTATAATAACGGGCTAAGGGTTGTTTACGTGTTTTTTTGTGTGTGTGTGTCTGTCCGTTACGAAATTCGTAGAGTGAGTTCCAGCCAACCTCTTGAGCCCAAATTTTGCACGGCGCATGCAAGCAGCATAAAAGTCCGCTATGCAAAAGCACGAGCGGATCCGTTGAGTGGATCCCTCAAAAACTGCGCTGCAAACGGATCCACTTGGCTTCTGGCCAGCAAAGTTGGGCCTGTACCACCACTTTTTGCAAATTCATGGATATGATTAACAAGCTAATGTGCAAGCCATGAACTTTAGCCTAAAAATTTGAACTGAAGTTGATTACTTTACGAAAATGGCGCCGAGGAAAGTCAGTTGCGTAAATTTTCAATTTGCCAAGATTTTACCTAATCATTTAGGAAGATTTTTGCACAAAGATGTAGCCCACGGTGATCACCGTCGTTATGGCGACTACCAAACCATGAAATATCCAGAAATCGGTTTAAATTTGCCTTTATTCTTCTCGGAAAAGTTTCATCCACGCGAAAATACCGATCTCACACAAAAAAGCTCTCGCAGTGGGTAGTTGTTTATAATTCATTCGTGATAGTCTGCATAGCGCGGTAAGTTTCAATGTCACTATTATGCGGGAATGAGCAAGGCATACAGAAAATAGGGCCAGTGCGAGCCTCTGCGAAGCAGAGGTGACGCACTGGTTATTACAATATGTGGCTCCCAAACAAATTGATCCATTCTTTTAACGTGAGTGTTTCTTGCTGCCTTTGCCAGCTGCAAGTGCCATGATTCTTCTAAAATTCGTCTCTCCATCTCATCTTCGGTCGTCCTATTAGGCGCTTATTTGGTGGTCGCCATTCGAGTCGCTCTCTTGATTATTTCATCACATTTCTGTTTGCGACTTTCCAAGCATAGAATTGCTAAATCTTTCACTTTTGTGACGCCACGTACCCTATTTTCAGGTGTATAAGCCGCGGGGTGGTCCTAGCTTACATCGAGCTCCTCAGCAGCCTCACTGCGTTTCGAAAAGCGATCCCTATGCCGCAAGATTCATCAGGCAAAACGCAGCACGGTATAAGGGGTCCTTTGATTGCGAAGTCCTTTGGGTGTTCGAGGTGGCCGGTGTAAGCTAGGACCACCCCGCGACTTATACACCTAAAAATAGGGTAACTAGTAACTATGAGTTCGTTTTTCTGTCCATTAAGCGACTGCCAACCATTCTCCGTTCTATGCGTCTTCCAGCAGCATCGAGTTGTTTCTCCATCTTCTTCGTGAGTGTCCATTTTCCGCACCGTAAAGTATCGCGGGAAGAATACACGAACCAAATAGTTTCCGCTTCCACTTCATTAACATCGTCTCTAAAATAGGGAGGTCCTTATATTGATGAAAGGTCTGCCATCCAGCCTGTATGTGCCGTGAAATTTCTTTGCTACAGTTACGGGAGAGTGAAATGTTTGTCCAAGACAGATACATGACTCAACTTGTTCGATCGTGGTACTTCTAACAATAAGACTGATTGTTACAGGTGTATGAGCAAGTACTTTGTTTTTTAGAGGATTGATCCCTTTGAACCGTTTCTGCGTGAGTGCACATTAGGTTGTTTATTATCGCCTGTAGTTCATCTTCAGATTTTGCAATTGTCGTCAGTAAAGCGATGTCGTCAGTAAAGCGTAGATTCGTTGGCTGATTGCCATTTATGCAATAGCCGTAGCTGCTCCAGCCGATTTTTCGAAAAACATGTTCAAGTGCAGCGTTAAACCTTAGGTGGTAGCGGATCTCCCTGTCGCACTCCTCTTTGAGTCGAAATTTCACTGACCTTTACGGCTGATCGTGGACTTGTGTGTATTTGAAGAAGTGCTATAAGTTGCCAGTGCTTTTCAAGATCATTCCAGAGTCCATTTATTTCAACGTTGTCAAACTTTCTCATAATTCACAAACATCATTAAAAGGTGTAACATGTACTTGTTCGTTCGCTCAACTAGTTCATTCATAGCATAAATATGATCAACCGTTGAATAGCTTTTCGAAAGTCTGCTTGTTAACGGTTGCTCTTGGTCAAAAGTGCCTTCTAGCCTTCGATCAATAAGTTTGGCAAGCAGTTTATAGAGTACCGGAAGCAAGGATATTAGACGATGCTTGCTTAATTCTTGCGGATTTCCTTTCTTGTATAGTAGAATGGTTACCGAATCTGCCATCGTCTTTGGTACCGTGCTGGAGTAGAGGCAATGGTTGAAAAGCTGCTTGATCAAGGGAATAAGATAATCTCTTCCTTGTTTGATCATCTCTGTAGTGTTCAGTCGTGCCCAGATATTTTCCCTATTCTCATCGAATCCATTGCCATGGATGTCTCTTCCGCAAAAATGGAGGACAGATCTCTTGTGAATAGTGTGGAGTGTACGGTATAAACAGCTCGAGCGTATATGCTTTCGAAATAAAAATTGATTATCTCGCAGACCCCTAACTTCGTGCCACAGATCTTCCCATTCTCATCCTTTACTCGAAAAGCTTGTGATGCTTATAAGATATCTCTCCCTTGACTTTCTTCAGACTACGTGATGACCGTAAAGCTTCTTCTAATCGTTTGCAATGATGAGAGCGTACCGTAACGTATCATTCCTTATCATTCTTCTTAACAATTTGCAGCATTCGACATAGGTAATGCGGTCGATTTGGGTAAACATCGTTGCCTTCATTTCTTGACGCCTCTTCATCATGGCGTTAGTTTTTTCCGAAAGGTAAACTGCATCTGGTGTTCTTAACATTTACAGATGCCTTTGCTGCGTTAGTAATATATTTGCATATTACTCCATGGCCATTTTCTGGAGAGCGTAATAACGATGGGCTTGTAGCAGAGATTTCGGTACTTTTTCGTTATCCGGACCCATTTTTTCAGAAGAAACTATTGCTTCTATCCTTGTATCATATTCTGGTTTCATAGGAAGGAGTGTTAATCTTCTGTCACGTGTCAAAAAATTTAACATATCATCTACATGTTCAACACGTTTTACCAAGAGTTTGTGTTACTCCACCTAGCAATGTAAGTTCAATCTGTTTTTAGTTGGTTTTGACCCCATTTCGAACACTTTCAAAGTGAACATTGTCATAATAATAACGACATACTACCACCATCGATGAACAGATTAGACTTTCTCAGGATAGAAAAGTGCGCTAGGATTTCGCCATTCAAAAGCCGAAATAAGCAGCAGCAGTGTATTTTATGTTATCTTATATATAAAGCTGAATGTCTGTTTGTATGTCTGTCTGTCTGTCTGTATGTATGTATGTATGTATGTATGTATGTATGTATGTATGTATGTATGTATGTATGTGTGTACATATGTTCCGAATAGAAAATTCCATTTCTGAACCGATCCGGACCAAACTTGGTACACATACACTTCGGGCCCCGGCGGGTGTCATAGGCTACTTTTCGTCATCGATCGATATCGATTTTATCGATTTTTATCGATTTTTTTGCTGAGTTCACCTACGGGGCTGGGAGTTCGCACAGGGGGGTAATCAAGCACGGGGATTCCGAATACAATATTGGTTTTCAGGATTATCGATTACTTTTATCGATTTTATCGATTTTTTTGCAAAGTTTGAGCTACGGGGCTGGGAGTTCGCACAGGGGGGTAATCGAGCATGGGGATTCCGAATACAATATTGGTTTTCGGGATTATCGATTACTTTTATCGATTTTATCGATTTTTTTTGCAAAGTTTGAGCTAGGAGGCTGAGAGTTGGCACACAGTTTGAGCTAGGGGGCTGTGCCAACTCCCAGCCCCCTAGCTCAAATTTTCAAAAAATCGATAAAATCGATAAAAGTAATCGATAATCCCGAAAACCAATATTGTATTCGTAATCAGCATGCTCGATTACCCCCCTGTGCAAAATCCCAGCCTCGCATGTCAAAATTTACAAAAAATCGATAAAATCAATAAAAGTAATCGATAATCCCGAAAACTAATATTGTATTCGGAATCCCCATGCTCACTTCCCCCCTGTGCCAACTCCTAGCCCTGTAGGTGAACTCTGCAAAAAATCGATAAAAATCGGTAAAATCGACATCGATCGATAACGAAAAGTGGACTGTGACACCGCCGGGGCCCGAAGTGTATGTGTGCCAAGTTTGGTCCGGATACGGCGGTGCCGGGTAAGCCAGCTAGTATTTATATTTTCGGCTAAATTCGCATGGCGAAGAGGGTTCGAATGAAGTACATTTCTGAATCAATGCTGAAAGCAAGCAGAAAGTTTTGAAATAAGTTCTTGATTGTTCTTTGCTTATGTAAAACAGTTGAACAGCTTTAAAATGATCACAAATTCTCTTTTATTTCACAAAATGATTTCGAAAAAACAAGTCGAAATGGGCCAATGTCAATTTTTTCCTGCACATGGCAAGGAGCAATCCTTGTAGAACTATGAAAAATTGTTTTAAGTCTTAAGAACGTATAATATGAGAGCGTTTCAAAAAATGGGTCTGGATAACGGAAAAGTACCGAGATTTTTCGCTTGTAGAGTTCCCAGCTCACGCACTTCTGGCTTTTTCGATCTTTTTTTCTTATATCACTTCAATCTGGCCACTTAATCTTTCCTCGTAAAAGGCGGTGATCGGTTTCTTAATTTAAGGATTAGTTCTCACGCTTGTGAATTGAACATTTTTGCAGAAAGGGATGTGGTCTATACAATTCAAAGTTTTGCCGTCGGGCAATTTCCAAGTCCATTTGCGGTCGCGGGTTTTGAAAAAGGTAGACATCGCGTGAAGACAATTTTCTTCAAAAGTTATAACCGCAGCATTCGAATGAAATCTCGACGTCGCTCAAACTTGTGCCGAGTTTTGCGTTTAGATCTCCCAGCACAATTACAGTCTTTTTCAACCCGGAGAAGCATCCAAGCGGAGCAGCGGACCCGCCGCCGGCTGAGCGAGATAGATTAGGACGAAGAGACGCAGACTGCAAAGCGGCGCAAATCGTTGCGAAGCGGACTCCGGCCAGTCCAATTTCCGCCTAAACTAATGAAACTTACTATATATGCACCTCTTTTAATTCGCTTTCTTTAGGCTTCATGCGGCAGTCTTTATTGCCGTGGACTAGACTTTTCTGAAAAACTGTCTCTGATTCGCTCCACTGCTCATCTTCGTAATCATCATCGTTTGTCTTCGGAGGAACGTACATAGAGAAAAATCTGGTGACACTCTTGCCTATCTTCACGTTCAGGACATTCTTCAACTTTTTCGAGTAAAGGCTAGTATGTGAGTCAAAAGTTGCTCACTCACGAGAAAGCCTGTGTTGGAGGGTCCTTGAGCGCCTTCAGGTCCAGCATAGTAAATTCGATAATCAGAATATGGCAAAGCCATACAACCGGTTCCTCTCCAAAGTGGTGCAGTCACAGCAAGAATATCGGGTGTTGTTTTTTTCTTGCAGTTCTACGTGTCGGGCTTCGCTGCTTAGGCATCTCACGTTGATCGTTTCGATGTGAAAACAGTTGTTGGGGTGGAACATTCTTGATCCAGCTGTTCCGGGGCTTCGCGGATCAAGGGTTTCAACGTCCGGTAGGATAGTGGGGGGGGGGGGGAAGTCTGAGTGACCGACTAGTCCAGGGATGTGCGAAGGAAGATCCATGGGTTGCCAACTGAGAATCAATGAGATTTATAGCTCCAACTGCTTGAAAAGGAAATTTCAGAAATTCCTTGGGGTGCTGAAGGGTGGGGAATGTCCTGGACGTGAAGATAGGCGAGAGTGTTTAAAAAAGTTAAAGAATGTCCTACGTGAAGATAGGCGAGAGTATCATAAGGTTGGGGGGGGGGGGCTGTAGCGATCAGTGTGATAGATTTACGAGTGCAATCTCCCTAATACAGTGCAGGTTCAAATACTCCAGACTTTTCTCCGTAGCATAGTCATAAAGCTTCCTTAGTACTAGGTTGGTAAGAAAATTCCCGGACATTTCTATAAAGTTCTTGTTTTACTATGGTAGACACAAGCATTATCAACGTTTCCTATGAATACGCAGGCAAAAATTCGAGAACATGGGACTTTGGCTTAGCGCAGAAGTCCAATTTCGGTGAACTTATACTCTCCCACATGCTCCTCATAATAAACACAGACTTCCATACTAACATGCAACAGCTGTGTAGAGTCAGTGCTGAAATGGCCAAAAATGAGATCATCAAGAAGAAACTCTGCCCTAATGGTATCTCTTACCAGCTCAGATAATATCTACATGCGCGCGAGAGCAGCAAGCTTTCACTCACCTACATGCGTCAGATAAAAAAACAGTCGCCTTTACACCTGCTTTTTTGTCCCCCCCCCCCCTCCCCGAACGGAAATCCTGGGTATGCTACTGCTCTGAGAACTTACCAACCTGATATCAAACTTTATGAAATATCAGCATAAAAGTTTTTAGAAATACTGAAAAAAGGCTGATTCTATTGCTCAATTACACTTTTGGCCGCTCTTCGCAAAAAACCTCGTAAGCTCTTTCAAAAAACGTGCAAAAACGGGAATCAGATTTGTAATCAGCGTTTAAAGTCGAGTAAAGTGGCTCAAATCTCGGAAAACCGTGGCCGCTAAGAATACTTTCCTTATAAGTAAAAGAAACCTGCTTGCAAGCTAGCGCGAAACAACCGAATGGACAATCCAGTTGCAAAATACAACGACATTATTACAAAAGAGCTGCCTTTTCAACGATTAGGACTAAAACTTCCATAGATTTCTAAATCAAAGCTGGCATTTACCGTTTTGTTCTTCTCGCCGCAGCTTGATCCTGCATCAACAAAGTCAATCAGACATACTATAAACAATAGGAGTGAAGGCAGGTGATGGATGATTGCCATTCTGAAATTTACCTCTAAACGACTTTGTTAAGCTCCGTCAATTAAAGTCTACGATGATTTATGAAAAGCTATTGTCAACTTACAGTGGAAGAATCTACGGTGACCATGGCCATTCGTAGAGAGACATCACTAGATGCGCCTCAAACTACCGATTTCAATTCTTTCGCTATCTGCTAAGCGAGTCTGGAATAAGTTGTAAAGGTTTTCTCTGTGGGAACTTGCACTGTTTCAATTAACACAACCATGAATCTCTTTCAAATTCTTTGTTTCCCTCATCCAAAAAAACATTTGAAGGCGAACTTTGAACTCTCGGATAGTCTGCCCCTGCGTTTATCTTCAAAAAACTCAGTGATCAATGATTCTGATTCTTAGTGTTCAAAAATCTTGCGAAAAACAGCTTATAACTTATTTCAGACACTCGCTTAGCAGATAGCGAACGCAGATTTGTAATTAATTCAAGGGGGATCTAGTAGTATGTGTCTCAATAAGAAGGGCCGCGATTACTAAGTATCTCTCCCGTGTTAGAACGGCGACGACATTTTGGAAAATGATAGCAAAAAAGAGGAAAAGGAGGATTATTTCTTAATAATCGACTGCTGCATCATCAGTCCTTGTCGGTTTAACTCATCGAATTTTATCGATCGAAAATCGAGATTAGAACCCTTGGCAGTCCACAACTAAGGCAGAATTTTCCAATATTAGAAATTAAATTCGAATATGTCGAAAATCTAGTAACTTTTATTACCGCTATGTTACTCGATAGCAGTACAAGAAAAGATTTCTCCGGAAGTATTCCATTTGTACAAAGAATTTGCGAATCCATGAAAGTACAGCTAAAAGTAAACATTTTCTCAGATAATATTTTGAATCCCGGAATTGTCAATTATATAGAAAACATAAGACAATACAAAATACTTTTGAAATCACTAACTGTAACTCTAGAAGTCTAGCGGTAAAGGTTTCCTTGTGGTAATATTTGCAGATAAAAAAAGCACTACACTACACCTACATCATGTCATGCTCCTAACAGTCCGTGTCAATCAAGTGCTCCTTTTCCGTAATTGCAATGAGCTCTGCACCATGCTCGCGCGCGTATGACTCAGACACGAATTGGCCTCGATTGGAGGTGCGGTGCGCAGGCAAGGTCCTTTCGCATGCGTAGTTCTCATGCGAAAGGGAGTACCTAATTGGCGTTGACTATACGTCTTTGTCATGGTGAACACAGGTATGTCTAACTTTGAGACAAACTTTGATGAATACCAAATCATTTGAAGTGAAATTTATTTTAAGATAGCTTTCAAGGTAATTTGCATAGCGGTAAGGTTCTTCTGATCTCATCATGATGAAGGGTATGGAAGCTGTTGGTAAATTCAATTTTTTATCTGTGGGGGCCAATCAATTATCGAGAAGCACTCAAGGGCACCGCCCACCCTAAGTGGGGGATTTTGAGCTTTTGGCAGCTTACGATAGTAAGCCCTCTATCAAGCCAAGCCCAAGTTGCGGCTCAAAATGTCGCTTTGAAAGCGAGGAAATCGGCTCGAGAAAGCGAAGAAGCATGAGGACCCGAAGTCAGCATCTGCTTTTTTCCAGTAATGTTCGCCCATCCGCAAGCCCATCTAATGAGGGTTCCAGAAAAGTGGTGGGAGCCGTGGAACGGGGATTTTAGACGTAACCGACTTCATGTTCAGAATCAGGGGCATGAGAAGCCCGAAACGACCAAAACATTGAAGCTGAGAAACTGGGTGGACGGTAGCTTTAGAAAAGAATCGCAAAAAACTTTTGAGGAAAGGCTCGGCAGAAAACACCAGAAAGCCTTCTTTCCCACGCAACCTTTGGCGTAGAGATAGCCAGTTTGTAATTCTGCCTCAGTACATATTTTGGTGATAAGCAATGCTGGAAAACTCATGTCCCACAAAAAGCTGAAGGCGCCATGGGAGCTCCGGCGTATTTTGGCGATTTGGGCATGGAACGATAACGAGTTCATCAAGCTACTTTTTAGTCTAGGAGTTGCCGTTCTAAATCAATGCGCTACCATATTTGCCTTCACCAAAGCGGTTGGAGCCGTTCGAAGTAACGTGGTTTTTGATTCAACATAATCGCAATTGCCGGAGTTAAATAATAATTTTCCTCTGCGTCGTTGATCTTGCATTGTCAAATATACTTGCAATAAAAAGCTAATCATGAATTGTCACTATGCCTGCATAGAACATAATTGGGCCACGTCGCTGGAACTTTTGCCTGCACATACAAGCTATTTTTGTCAAAATGTGAGGTGTAGATCTACACTTTACATGGAGTGTGGTAAAGAGTTCTACAAACTGAGAAGCTTCATGCACCGCCAAGATTTCACAACGAGCTCTAAGTAGCCGTCATGTTTGCATGCTGGCAGAGGTAGAATCAACCTTGAGGTACACTGATTCGGATCACAGGATTTGCGTGATATCCAAGAGTGAATCTTATCATTAGATCATCACTTGTTTTCTTGCAGAGAAGTGCCTGCATTGAAAAACCACGGCTTTATAGAGGGAGGTATGGTAGAAAAACGAAAGGAAAAATAATACAAGGGAGGGTTACGACTCGAAGTGCTCTTTCACTACTAGCTGCGTACTATACATGAGAGAGTATAGCGCCTACTCCACATCTGCTTTTTGTAACCGTCATCTTTGTTAGAGTTATGGGCAATTTTCGGGGCAAGAAAAATGACTGATTGGCCGAGTTGACTTTAACGCTAAAACCTTTCTAGACGTCAAATAAATGAATAAGGAGTACTAATTTATTAGGAAGAAGTCAGTGTAGGACTATCTGAAACTTGCCTCTGCTTCATTTGAAGTCTAGAGATGCTTTAAAGATCTATTATATCCGAGACATTAAGTCATTTTTTTGCCTCAGAAGATGCTCACATGCTTTTTCACAGAAGCTCTGGAAATATGGAAAGCAGATTATAATAAGCGCTTCAAGATCGCATCAACGGTATACAGTTTGTAATGGTCGGCCACTTCGACTTTGTGACCCTTCCTCGATAGTCAAAAGCTTATAAGGTTGCCAATTTGAGTCAGTCATTCTTTGGCAAATGGCAACAACTTATTAGATCTCAGTAATTGGAATCGCTATCAAAGATGAAGTCCCATGCAACCTAAGAGTGCGGTATATGTGTATGAATGTCTGCAAGCAAAGTAAGATTCTTGTCTACTTGTTTTCAAAAGCGCAGGAGATAAGAGATTGAGATCTCGCAACAGCTACATACGAAAAAGCGTTCAAAATATGACCAGTTGATATGCAGAATAGAAAGACGTTAATGTAAAGTCAGTGTAAAGAAAGTTCTATCTAAAAGAGTACGTTGTGGTTACAGGTTGACAATAGATAAGATGCAAGAGGCAGTTATATTTGCCAGTAGATAAGTGAGTAAATCACCTACTAATGTTTTACAATTTTTTTTCATTGCACGTTTGTTGAATTATCCACAAATGAGAACGCGATGAATTAGTAGGACTGACTATGAGTGGATCATATATTGAACTGTTGCCTTGACTGTTCTTCTTTCACTCTTACTTCTTGATCGTGTTTGGCAAATAGATGTTGAAAGAGAGAACAGAGAGTATTTGCAATGTATCTAAGTAAAAGAAAAGGGGTACTTTGGTGAATCAATAGACTCATAACATTGCAGTCACATAAATTCACACCAATCAAAAAGTACGTTGTTTACTGTGGAAAAGGTGTAATAAAGGAGTAGTTTCGTCAAGCGGGAAAAAAGTGGCAAATCACTGGAAGTTTTCAGCTTATTAGTGCATAAGAGGATACCAACGTCAGTTTACTAGCTTATTCTGAACGTAGAAGCTAGTTTACCTGATCAGCATGATTGGTGATGATATATAAGCCACGTAAAAGAGCAATACCATTTCGACTCTACGATATCTATAGCTGGAGCACTGCTCAGTGACCTATGCTTTGCAACTTTGTATCCTTCTTGGTCTTCTCCAATGCCACAAAAGAGCCGAAGCTCACTACTTTCATAATGTTCTCTGAATGGAGAAGACCTTAGAGTACGAAGCTTTGATCTGTTCTCTCAAAAGTAGTTCGGCTTTTAGTAGTTTAAGTAGTTTTTGGTGCGAACGGCTCAAAAAACGTACACATAAGAATAAATAATTAGGAAGACATCGTTGTATGTGGAGAGTGTTGAGCATGTACAAAAAGAGAAGATTACTCTCCACTAAAGTCGTCGTGTCTTGGCCTTTTCAGTACTTAAGCACGGTTTCAAGATGAAAGCCGAAGAGTACAAAGTACGGTCATCCTTTACCCAAAAATGGTAGATGTGACTACATTCAGGTGCAGTGCAGTCAATTAGCGTTTTTACTCAGCAGTAGCAAATTATCAATTTCATTCGAAACACTGCGACTCGGAATGAAAAATCGATTGTATTTCTACAGCGTTTCTGATGCATGATCAGCAATCGGCCATCAACTCATCTCCGCGCACTAAGTTTGGACCTATAAAAGCGCAAAAAAATCTTTGAATGCAAACAATTCAACAAGCTTCATCGGAAGTATTTATTTCAGCACGCTCATCTTTCCCCCCTTCCCCAATTCTTTCCGCTTACAACTTTGTAGCCTTCAACATGAAAATGCAATAAATCAACAAATCGATGGAATCGTTAGCTAATTTGATAGCTTCCTAATACTCGCCTCGCCTCAAAGTTGTGTATATTGGTAGAAGCTGTGCACAGTTTCCGTGAGGTTGGCAAATGTCAGCTGGAAATTATTTCAAATAGAACAAGCAAAAGCGCTAATGCAAGTAGCGTTTATACGCTATGCGCAACACGTTAACAAACTGTTACACGATAATGCAAAACACGATCTTGCTAAAGGCATCATTTGCAAGGAAACAACTTTCTTCACTAACCGTAACGATAATGGCTAACAATGAGATTTACCTTTGAAATAAGACATTTATATATTTGGGACCAGCTAAATGCTGATTTCAATTGTGTTGTTAGTAGGTTAGTATATGCCAGCGCGAGGTTAGCAGATTTTATTGCTAGTAGTGACGGCCTGACGTTTCGACTAATCGTCTTTTTCACAGGCCTTCTCCACCGTCGGAAGGAAAATGCTAAGCGCGCCGTCCTTCAATGCCACTAGTATAAGAATTCAATTCT